GGCACTGGCCAATATTATATATAATAATATTATAATATAATATAATATTAATATAATAATATTATATATTTATAATATATAATATTAATATAATATTATATATTTATAGTATATAACATTATTCTTCTAAATATTATATGTAAATATAATATATAAATATATATATATATATATATGTTATATATTATATAAAAATATATATATAAATATTATATAGAATGGGACTCAAGTAGTCCCACAACAAATTCATGGGAACGCGCATGGGTCTGAAACCAATTTCATTCATTTATTTTGACCCATTTTATGGGTCTGAAAATGTCCCACCATGCATTAGCGTGCATCAAAAAGTATCGGACATTTTTAACACCTTCAGCGCCAATAATCGACCGTTAAAACTCCCGCAAAGTCGAAGCATTTTAATTAATTAAACCGAAACTAGAAAGTTAATGCTTATCATAGTGTTCGACATTAGAACTCTTTCGCATGCGAAACATCCTAAGTCAAATTCAGTTCATTCGAGTGTACATCACAATGAAAACGAATTTTCAAAATCGGTGACATAACCTTGTACCATAACCTTAATTCCACCGTGGCCCGGAGAGTCGAAAATCGACCGTTCGGCGATTTCCGTTCGAAACCGATTTAATCGTTCGTTGTCCAGATTGGTGCGAGAAGGGTCAATTCGTTTGCGGCAACAGTCGCAGCTGCGTCGACCAGGACAAGGTCTGCAACGGCTTCACGGACTGTCCGGAGGGCGAGGACGAGAAGAAGTGCGCCGCGTTGATCGAGGACGACGCGACGCTTAGTTACGAAGACGGGACCGCGACCGACGCGAGCGCCGCGACGACCAGCGACTACGTCGAGAATTTCTCGCGAACGGAGCCCGGCCCCGGCAAGGAGGCGATCTTCGACCAGGAGGCCGTCGAATCCTCGATCTCCGAGTCGAGCACGCTGGCCTCGCTGAAACACAACGGTCGACCGGAGAGAATAATAAATTCGAAAGGTGACGCGACGACCAAAGAAACTTCCGCCAAGAATCGCGATCATCCGAATGCCGCGACCCTCGTGTCCGGCCGAGAGATCTCCGCGAACGCGAAAGACGTTCTCGCTCACGGCAACTCGATCCACTTGAACCCGAAGAAGAACGGATCGTCGGCATCCGTGGTCAACTTCAAGAAAGAGATCAACAACTACAACGAGAAGGGTTACATAAACATACGGAAGAACGGAAAGTGGGGGAAGCTGTGTCTGAGCGGGATGGACGGTCTTCTGCAAGGAAGACAGGCCAGCTGGAGCATCGAGGACCTCGGCAGAGCGGTCTGCAAAGCGATTACGTATCAGTGAGTAACCCGGGACCGATCCTACTTGATACGCAAGGACGAACGGCATTTATCATTTTTCACGATTCCAAGAACGAAAGTTCTCCTCCCGCGGAATATGCGTTGAATAATAAAGCTGGCCGGAACGTTTCGCGCTCGAAAACACGCATGAATCACGGTTTCCGCAGGATCGTGTTCAACGGAAAGAATGTCTGCCACGAGAAGTTTTTTATTACTGAAGTAGAAACGAAAATATTGATAATAGAATCGCTTTAAGAACGGATGAAGAAATGAATCTAAAAATCTATACTATATCTATCGCAATCCGGAAATGACGGGTTCCTCGGATCATTTGAAGCAACTTCTTCCTTTACAAAAATGTTCTCCGAGGCATCGTTAACGAGTTATTAACGAAAAACCAGTGACCAATAAGAATCGAGTACGGCCGACGCGAGGCGGCCCAGCCAACCAGCGCACGAAGCCCAGTTCCGCTCATTGACTCGGTTGCCTCGCGTCAGCCGAGCTCGCCTCTCATTGGTCGCTGTTTTTCGTTAATAACTCGTTAACGGTGCCTCGGAGAAAATTTTTGTGAAGGAAAAAGTTGCTTCAAATGATCCGAGGAACCCGCCACTTTCGGATTGCGAGACATTTTTGGGACACCCTGTATAAAAAGATCACAAAACTGGTCGAACAGTATCGATTTATTTATATTTATTATTAATCATAATTATTATATATAATATTTATATTATATTGGTGATATTGTATGTATAATATACTTGTCATGGTTCACAGAGATTTCGAGACGGTCGAGAAGGTACTGGACGAAAATCCAGAATCGAGCCGTCCCTATTACACTCTGTCATACAACGAGAAACCCCTGGATAAAACGATCCTGACTTTCAAACCTTCCGAGTGCCCGAGCGGCGAGATTCTCAGGGTCAAGTGCAAGAACCTTGAGTGCGGAATAAGAACGCAAGCTCCGTCGCAGGCCAGGTATACTCACTGAACCAGTTTCTCATAATTATATACCGGCTGGAACATTTGTAAAACTATTTGTGTATACAACCGCGCTCGAGGACGATGCCCTCCCACGATTCGCTAACAACGGGATACACATTCGTTGCAGAAAATTTTAACGAACGCGCGGGTCAAATTGTAATCGATCGAATTATCGTTCCAGACCTGGACTGATCTTTTTCTGATTTTCTGAAAAATCCGAATTGTGCAAATTTTTGGAATCGTGCAATTCCAAAATCCCGAACTGATCAGGGGAACGTGAATATTCAGATAATGGAACGGTTAATTAACCGAACTGTTAGATTTGAATATAAATCGCCTTGGATCGATAATAAAGAATTCAGAGATCGAAGTTTCGGTTAATCGAGATTCTACTATAGTTCTATTATATATATTTTTTAAATAATATAGAATATATTCAAATATTTTAATAAAACATAAAAATATAAAATATACCTAATTGCAAAAAGAAATTCATTACTTATAGAACAACGAAGATCTTGAAATGCAAGATTAAGATTGCTTTACGTTGCTTTAGATATGAATTTGTAGACGTCAAAAATATAGAAGAGCCTTGTAAATTGCAAAAATTGGATTTTCCTTGTACAAATCGATCTTGGAACAGCTTGCAATCAGGCAGGAAATAGTACGACAGAATCGATAAACGATCAACGATTGAAATAGATCGAATGTTTCCCGACGTTCCAGGATAGTCGGCGGTGGTAGCTCATCCGCCGGAAGCTGGCCGTGGCAGGTGGCGCTGTACAAAGAGGGGGATTATCAATGCGGCGGTGCGCTTATCAACGATAGATGGATCTTATCCGCTGCACACTGCTTCTACCAGTGAGTCGATTAATCTTGTTTTCTATGAAAAGCTTCGATAATCTGCGAAATGGAATATTTACACGATAAAAATGGATACGGAAATGTTCTCGAAGTTTCGGTTAACAGAGAACTTCTAGTATATCTATATATAGTAAATAAAATATAAAACACCGGATATTATTCGATGAATAGTAACGATAACGCGCGCGTAACTGTAACGATATAAAATAATTATTACACTCGAACTGATACTCTGAACGTATTATTAGGCATTATTAGATATTAGAGGTTATTAGACATAACCTCTATTAACAATAATTCTAGATATAGATATATTATTATATAGATATATTATCTTTTAAAACGCACGAAAGGATAACTACATTGTGCCAAACAATTGAGGTTAAAGGATTACTGCTTGTACAATTGCGTAATTTGTACAATTTGTACAATTTAATCCTTTCGAAGATCCTTTTCGTTGGAGAACGTAGCGAATGAGCGAAGCTACTTTTGTACTATTTTTCACAAGTTCGAACGACTACGGGAAGTTTTGCGTCGAATAAATAGCGTGAACGATCGAGATAGCAGAAGAGAGAAGTGCACGAAATTGTTTGTTCCAGTGCTCAAGACGAGTATTGGGTGGCGAGGATCGGAGCGACCCGCAGAGGAAGCTTTCCGAGCCCGTACGAGCAGGTCCTGCGGCTGGATTACATATCTTTGCATCCCGAATACATTGATAACGGATTTATAAACGATGTAGCGATGCTGAGGCTCGAGAAACCGGTCATCTTCAGCGACTATGTGAGGCCGATATGCCTTCCTGAAGCGGAACCGAAAAGCGGCACCATGTGCACTGTGACTGGATGGGGCCAGCTGTTCGAGATAGGACGAATATTTCGTGAGTCAAGAACGAACGTGTTAAACAAATGAAAAAAGAAATTTGTCTGCAAAATATTTCTATAATATTCGCGATTATGCACGCGTTATAACAACAATAATATTGTTCACGTTCTATGATGGAATAACATTCATTAAAGAACGTATTAGACAAAAAGACAAAGAAAATAGATCTTATCTCTTATTCAAACAGATATACAGGGTGTCCCAAATATGTCTCACAGTCCGAGAATGGCAGGTTCCTGAGGTAATTTGAAGTAAGTTTGTCCTTGGGGCGAAAATGCAATCCACGGCTTTGTTTACGAGTTATTAACGGAAAAGAGTGACCAATGAGTGGTGAGATATGCTGGCGCAAGGCAGCGCCGAGCCAATGAGCGGAACGTGGGCTTCGTGCGCTCATTGTCTCGCCCGCCAAGCGCTAGGCGAGCTCGCCTCTCATTGGTCAGTGTTTTTCGTTAATAATTCGTAAACGAAGCCGCGGGTTGCATTTTCGCTAAGGAAAAAGTTACTTCAAATGATCCCAGGAACTTTTCATTTCCGGTTTGCGAGACATTTTCAGGACACCCTGTGTAGTTAATCGTCTGTATAAGTGCGAACCATTCTGTTAATTGTCAAAGTGAATTGTTAAAAACAGCGTCGAATGAAAATATTGTTTTCAATTGACAAGAAAATTCTTACTTGTTGAACAGCGGACACCTTGCAAGAGGTACAGCTCCCGGTGATATCGACGGAGGAATGTCGGAGGAAGACACTGTTCCTTCCTTTGTACAGGATCACGTCCGGTATGCTTTGTGCTGGATTGAAGGATGGCGGAAGGGATGCTTGTTTAGGAGACAGCGGTGGACCGTTGGTTTGCTCAGGGTCTGACAACAAGTACACACTTCACGGTTAGAATACGAATATACTTTCATAGAATTCAATGAAATAGCATAGTATATGTTAAGCATATACTACGTATATGCTTAATATAGCATTATATAATATGTATAGCAACAGTGCTAATATGCATAGTATTGTTTAACGATTATAATCGCTAGATCACTGCGGATCTTCACGGAAAATAAAAATTCTCTGGCTCGACAAAACAGTAATCGAACCGAAATTTACTTTCATGCTTGATACGGATTATTAAACTATCGTGTTTCAATTGATCAGGTATCACTTCGAACGGCTACGGTTGCGCGAGGCCAGGAAGACCGGGAGTCTACACGAAGGTTCATCACTATCTTCCCTGGATCGAGCACACGATATCGAGGGAAGACATCCGATCCACGATGGTGTCCTGCAGAGGCCATCGATGTCCTCTGGGCGAATGTCTGCCGAAGTCTCGGGTCTGCAACGGCTACTTGGAATGCTCGGACGGCAGCGACGAGCGTAACTGTCTTGTTAATCTTTAGCGAGCAAAGACTGAAGAAGATTAAATTTTGCTGCCACTAATGTAATCTCGTAGTTCGGAGATTTAAATTTGATTTCGACCGGATTGTACGGTCTGTCGAAGTTTGCAGCGAAAGTAGATGCAACAACTGTTTTCCCCGTGAATCGGTGCAGCGCGGGCTCGTATTAATTGAAAAAAACATTATCTTTCGTTCACTGTTTGTTCATCGACGAATTGTATCCGAACAGAGTGGCGCGAGTGAACGCGTTAATGCCGGCGGGTATACAGAAGTAGAATTCGATATTTTTATACGACGATAAGAATGTTACAACCGGCGAACAGTTCCGTGTAGCATCAAATGTTCGTTGAATTAATGCACGTGCAATATCTAGATCGAAATCAAACTGTGAAGGTAATCGTCGGAGAGTAGCCGAAACATTAGCAATGATTAACGACACACCGCAGATACTGATTTATACTCCTCCGCGCAATTATCTCTGCATTTGATTCTTAATATTAACGCGTTCGAGTAGCAGACAGATGGTCGAGAGTTCGCAGCATTGTTCGTTCGACGATGGCGCGAACAGTCGCGTAGAATTGTATTTCCGAGCCACAGCGATGACTCGGAAATACTTGACGTAGAAATATTTCAGACGAACCTGGCCTTTGGATTCTTCGTTTAAGGCGAAACCGAATCTCTAGGCCACGTATATCGTGCTATCACCAATTTAAGTTTTTCCTTAAGTTCGACAAACGAAATATGTATATATCGTGTCTAATGTATTATGTAAAAAAGAACCTGATGCTAATAAATAAGAATTTTTAGAAAATAACAATTTCTCGCGTTTCGCACGAGTTTCTATAAATCATAAAATTGAGATTTTCGAAGCGTCCCGGTAAAAATTGTAAGAATACTTCAACGATAAAAGATACGAAAGATTCCAAAGAATATAGTTCAAGTGAATTTTTAAAGAGAGATTAATATATCTAATAGTTTTCATTGAAAAAAATCCATCGAAATGAAATGTAAAGCCAGATGACAACACCGCGCGGACTTCGTACGTTTACGAGAAAAAATGCGTGGACCAAAAGCAAAACGGTCAAATCGTTCGAAGAATTTATTTTAAAAGTACCATAACATTATTCCGAGTTCATTTGATTTATTAAGCCATAGAGTAAATGCCTAAGCAGCTTCTGTATTGCAATCGATGCACATTCATTCATATTTTGCATAAAACTCCGCAGCCTATCGACGACGTTACGTTGTCGATACGTTTCTCAAGAGCAATAACAATACAGGCGTTATTATAGACGGTATATCATTTCATTTTATTAGGACAATTAGAAATAGCACTGAAAATCATATTTGGAAACAAATATTGATTATTCTCGATACAATACTCTATCGATATTAAAAATGAAAGCTGTTAGAAGTCTATCATGTTAAGAACAATACGATCCTTGGGAGTGAAGAACATCAGTCGATAAATCATCGTTCCGTCGCGAAACACGTTTTTTAGTAGCATACAAAATAGACAAATGAAGTCGGACCATTCGAATTCCCTCTCTTTGCAGTCCATTCGTTAAAGAAGGATCGTACTGTTTTGAATCCATTGTTAATCCTAAAACGATCTCGTTACTCTATTATCATCGTGCCGCTTTTAAGTAGAGCGCTAGTTATTACATTATACCTACGATTAGCACAATATACCAAGTGGTAAAAATCACAATGTAATTTACGTCACGTTCAAACAGCACGCTTTTTTTTGATGTTCAATTTTCAGGTTTCACAACATACCCCTCCATCATTGTTCGCAATAGCTTTCCTCCCCTTAACCAAGTGGACCATCCAGACTTTTGCACGTCCATCATTTTTGATCATTTCACGCGCATAGAGCAGCGTGCATGCGGAAAACCTCGAAGATTCTCGGGTTAATCGGCCCTTCCGCGAATAACGTTCCGGTTAACTGGCTAAGGTGATCGAGAAGATGTGAAGAACAATCTTCATTCGGCACGTGCTCTCATCCAATCATTGTAGCAAATAATATGCTCTTGCTATTTTGGCGAGGATTCGTAATTTCGAAGATTTTTTTTCGTTAAGAGAACGACCACCTTGGCCAACTAAGTAACGTTCGTTTAAATGAAAAACGAAAATCGATTATTCTATTCGGTAGATCACGGATACTTGTAAACTCGGAAGACTCCTGAACCGAAGCGATGTACCCTTAGTATAGTTAATTACTATAATTTTCGACAACGGGTCAAAATTTTGACGGAACTCCTCGATCGATCGTGATGAACAGTCTTTGTTGCAAAAGTCAAGAGACGATATATCCAACCATTGATATGACATCGCCCGAACGCTTCAGAAATGGTTCCGAAATCATCTCCGATTCTATGTTCCCGGTGCGCCCGAGCGATACTCGCTCTAATCACCCGCTAAAAAGAAAAACCGAAAATAAACAACGTCGAGCGGCAATTCCTTGGCGAGTCATCTTGACGACCGGTTTGGGCAAAAGTTCGATCACGTTAGAAAACGGTGTAAATGTATAAAAGTGCGGTCCGAAGGTAGCAAAACTTTTGTCCATACCTGTTTATACTCTTAAACCGACCTACAACAAACTGTCCCCATGAATCAGCACCGGACGTGCGAACCGAAAACAGTTTCGTGGAGGATGTCGATATCCCATCTACACGTATGGAACGAATCACAACCGCTAGAGATCTAATTAATCCTATATTACAAAATATCGTGTCGCAGATTATCCGGGTACTACCCGCGTATTCAAATTCCGTGAGCGTAATCGTTTGAACCTCGTGCAATCGTTTCTCTATTAGAGGAGTGACCTTCGTTTTATCTTTCTTCATATTTCAATTTTCGCCTGAACCGGAGTCGATGATCTCCACGAAAATGCACGCGATATTGCATCGAACGAGATGGGACTGTGTGTGTAACGTTGTGTAGTGAAAAATTGTCTAATCGAACACGCCGTGTCTGCCAACGCAGGACACGGGACGACCCTAACCGCGCGGATGAGTCTATTCCGTTGGCTAATTCATCGCCCCTATTCTGATTCGTCTTAAATTAACTCGAAGAAGCAATAAATAAGAAATCGATGAATCCTCTGAAGACGATACCTCTAATGAGCCGTACTCTTAAACGGATAGTTAGTTTAGGCTATGAATGATGTTGAACCGTAAGACGACTTTAACCAAGCGAGTCGACCGCGATCGTGCTGAGACCTTTCGGACTGACCGTGGTCTTGAACTGCTCCGGTACGGGATACTCGACCTGCAATCATGAATTTAAAAAAATATGTAAACGAGCTGGATTACGTTTCGTCTGAGGCATTATTTATCTGATGCATTTATCGTGCAACGGTCTTACGTAATCGCCGTTTCCTTTCGGCACCATGACATTCATCTCGCTCGACTTGCTGCTGATTAATTCAACATCCATCGATTCCGAGCTTAGGTACATCTGGCAACCGTCGGTTTTGTCGATGGAGATGGTGGGTACCTTACCCAATACCTGCAATTCGACAAGAGAAACAATATGTTAATCAAATCGTCGCATTTTAATCGTAAAAACTCTACTGTGACCTTTGGAAAAAAAACAATGTTTCTGTTTAAAATCTCTGTGTCTCTTTCGATGCGATTGATATCAATCCAAAAAATAGTGAAAGACAAAATTGTCACGTGTCATCGAATTGGAATATTTTCGAACGAAAGAATAAGATGAGCAGACCACCTTCTTGAAGTAATTCGAAGAAGCAGGAATTCTATGGGAATTTATTTCTGTTTTCGAGGTTAAATTGGCATTAAGGTTAATTGGTTGTTTGACAAGTTGAAAATCCCCGGTCTGGAAATAACGGTATACTTCTTCGAAATACATCCTATACGTAATATCGATAAATTCTCGTTTTCTATCGACGAACAACTGCAGGTCGTGGTTTCTCTCGATTTTTCATGGCTTCACGAGGTACAGGCTCCTGGACTGGATAATAACAATAGGCACGAACCGATGACCTCTTAAAACCTTAATGGTCCCGGCCTATCCATCTCCAGACAGAATGCAGTGGCAGTTCGGTAAGACTCGAGGCATCGGTGCATAATTTGCAATCTGCTTATTCTCTGTTCGAACTATAGCCTTAAACGTGTTGGAAAAATCAACTTCGAACTGTCTATAAACTTATTAACCAATTCGAATTCCAGGTGGAAATCTGGAACCGGTGCAAATGGTCTGCGAACTCGACTGGAAAGAATGTCCGAAAGCAATCGCGAATTATGTCTGGAGCGAGATCGTAACCGATGTCGTCGATTGCATCACTCAAGGGATCATTCTAAAGGCACGCGCGTCTTTTTCCTTTCAACCGTGTTCAATTGCTGAAACCAATCGTTCTAATTATTTCGGATTTGTCTATCTGTTCATTCTCTGATCGTTCGCGTTTGTTAGTGTTAAGCGAATCTAGTTATCAAATTAACAGACTATGAGATGCTGCATAAGCACAAAAAATATCATATATATTTAATATAATAATAATATTACTATATTATATATATTTAATAATATAATATATATTATTAAATATAATAATATAATATATATTTAATATAAATATCATATATAAATATAATTCGTAAATAAATATAATACATAAAAAGAGAGAGAGAGAGAGAGAGAGAAGGAAATCTTTTGAAGAAATTTTTAACGATAAAAATCTCTCATAGTGATTTTTGTATCGTTTTTAAATCTCCAATCAGAAAACGAAGAATAACTGTATGATTTGTTCAAAGGTATTTTGCACGTTCCTCGTTTGTACCGTGTTGCTCCGTGTAATACATTCGAAAACTAAACGGCTAAGCGAGTTCCTGGATGATAAAAGGATCCTAAACAAAATCGGATACAAAATAGAAGATCTCGAACTGAAAGTCAGCATACTAACATACAAAATGCAATACGGCTCGTGGCCTATGCCCCACCAGATTCAAAAACCAGGCTTCAAAAAACACTTGAAAAATCTTCGATTGACCCTGTCGAACACCAACGACCGCGCCGATTGGATAAAACACGTGTTGCTAAGGTATCGCGAACATTTCGAATGTTCAATATTAATTAATACAGTGATAGTATCGTTATCACTGTTTCAGCCCCCGAACGGACAAGTCGTTCGTTTCGTTTCGAAACGGAAGCTATTATCCCTCTGAACATCATGTGACGGAGCTGTTTGATGCGAAGAAGAAGTCTCTTCATCCCTACGTAAAACGCAACGTTCTAGAACACATCAGCAGATCATCGAAAAGCGACAGCGACGGATCCCAAAAGTACAATTACAGCGCAAACTTCCTCACTGTTCGAGATAGTTCTTAAAACCACGTTTGAAAACTTGCGAACAATAATTAGTATAGTATTACATCTCTAGTACAGTATTACATCATAGACACTCTATTGCGAACCAGCGACGCGACTGAGATCAGTAAATACATTTTTGCGATTGTTTGTTTATTCGATTCGAATTTCTCGACGTTGGTCCGGAAAAAGATTGTTTAAAGGAAGAGAACAGTGTACTCCCTCGTAGAGAAACTTTGATAACAGTTGCAGTCATTACAGAATTGCTGACGCGCGTGCAATGTCATGATCATAATTAGTTTTTCTTCATAGGATAAATCCCTTCGAGCTTAAGAGGGCGACAAGTCGAAGACGACGCAGAGCGTCGAAGAGTGAAAATTTCCAAGCGCGGAACAGTAACACGATCCCGAATCCGATCTCCCAGCGAAACAGTAAATCAACGAGCAAATTAAGAACCCGTAAAACTGAGAAAACAGCCGCGCCTTGTAAAAGGTTCACGAGAACTATGGACGAGTGCAAGCGATACTTGAAAGAGTTGTACGAGAGCAATAAATATCTTGGTCTGGTCTGCAGCTCTGTGGAAACCAGTAACGAGTCCTTGACGAAAAATGACTGGCCGGATGCGCAGGTAAAGAAGCTCTCTTTTTGCATGGTAACTGGGTCAGCTACTGGACCATAGAGATCAGAAAGCAGTCTATAAAAATAAAACATTGTATATAGAAACATAGCCTAATAATATGTAATATAACAGATGTCACATCGTATGCTAAAACCGCAAAATTCTTTGACAATTAATTTGTTTTGTAATCTCGTCGAATGACACAAACGAGCCAAAAATAGACATTTCAATTTTAGCAAGAAAACTGTACTCAACCAGAAGGTGCATCTGACGTGGGTGAAAAATCGAGGGAGAATCCAGGCAAAGAGACATCGTCGGAACAAAGAACCGCTGTTGCGGAAAAGAAAACAAGGGAACAGTATAAGGGAAATTGTTTGGAACTGTCCAATGCTGTTTGTCCGGTCGTGAGGTTGAAGGAGAATTGTTTGATGCCATCAAAGATGAACATAACGTTTCGCAGCGAAATGTTCCCTCGACAATCTTCGCACATGATGATCCCGCAACCATGTGAACGCCAAAAATTCGTAGAAACGTCCCAGGAGACGTTGTATCAAGTGAAGAAGAAACTGGAGAGTTTGCACAACGTGTTACGAACTTACGAAATGCAGAATTCCGAGATGAGACTAGCAGGCAAGCCACGAGACGGTAAAAGCAGCTGGAACAATGCTCGTACTGATGTCATGAACAAAGCCGTTTCAATTGAAACAGACAATAACGGTTGGAACGAGAAGAACAAAAACAGAGTGAGATTCGATACCGCCGCGGGAAAGCACTTCGATGATCTACACAGAACCGTTTACATCAGTTCCGAACAATATGACAGTGACGAAACAGGCAGAAGTTCTGACGTGTCTGTTCGAAGTTATTCCCAGGTGCTCAGCACTTACTATTCGAACAATTTGAAGAAGTCGTATTCGGTTGACAAAAGGGAATACTCTTCGATCAGATACGACAAAATTCCGGAGAGGATATATTACACTATATCATCTGACTTCTTCGATAACGAGAACATCGCCGTGGCAGGTAATTTCGCGTTACCAGACGTATACGTTGAAAACACGCAAACAGGATCACTTGGTTATTTAGATAGACAGACTGCACCGATGGATACTGATGAAGACCTGCTAATAACTTCGCCAACCTCGAGTCGCACAGAGATGTCCAAGGAGAGCGAATCCGATGATAAGTCCACGGCAGTGTTGCTTCAAGAGGCATTGCAAATCAAAAGAGCGCTGCTGACACGTGTAGAGTTGGAAAAAATATGCTATATGGATGAAGATGAAAAACATGTGCAGGCAGAATATGTGTCAGAGTGTGGCAAATGTTCGTACGTTGACAATAATCTGCAATCGAAACTATTGGATATCATATCGGAGGAACAATCGATCAGCAGCTCCACCGACAGAGGTAGTCGAACTTACATGTTTCTAAACATAAAACAAGGAAAACAATTAGCTCGTTCTTCAACGTTCAGCAATAATGTAAGAAATTTTAGGCAACAAAATCAAGTTGCGGATCAAGGTATAAATATGGAAAATGTTGAGTCGAATAAAAATCTTGGGTCAGGCTCCGAATACTTTAGTATCAATAACATAATGCAGGAAAATGATCAAATGAATCTTAATCAAGCATCATTATCGGAATACAAAAGTTGTCATGAGATTAAATCTGTTAAATCCGCAGAAATTGCAACGGATAATTTACGTAAAAAATGTCAAAGTTATACTTCGAGTATGTTCAACGGAATGAACGAAGATACGAAACTTGCAAACTGTACGAAAAATGAAAATAACGAGAACGATTTCGAGTCGAACTTCTTACGTATGAGCAACATAAACGAGCTTGTGGATATTAACAACAGCAGCACAGAGATATTTTCACAAAACTTAAACGACTCCTTCATAAATGAACAGAATTCTAGCTTGAACAAAAACGAAGAATGCAATTTTCTGGATTCGGACACTGCAGACCAACGTGCAAACGTTGCATTTCTTACAGATGTAGGCAACTTTGTAAGTACAACATTGAACGCATCACAGAATGAGAAATATATTGAAGAAAACGAGATTTTAATATCTAGTCCTAATTTGAGTTTAAAAAGGCACCCAGGCACGTGCTCTCTAATAGAACAAACATTGGTGACAGAAAATGAAACGATGAAACTGCACATGGTGATAAACGTCGCAGATACAATGTATGAATTGTCAGCTTCTGAGAGCAAAGAAAATTCTTTGGAGACGAACCTGCAAGATTCATCGAGTGTAAATCAGTCGAACGATTCTAACATTCCAGAGCCTCCGTCTACGACAGCACTCACTAATAAATCATTGGACGAAGAAGAATTAAATGTAAATTGGTCAACTATCAAGGACGGCTATACTGACCATTACATTAACGAGAAAAACGCGCAAAGAGCTTCAACGAACACCATTACTCTTCAGAAATACGATTACGTGGAAGTGGAACATTGTAACAGAGACGTGTACAATGAAGACGCAACTCCAGCAGAATACAGAAGCTTAGAAGTTCATTACCATGAAAATAGTAAATTGAAAAACGGAAAAGATAATTCAGTTATGCGGAGTTCTGTTGCAACCTCAAATAACAAAGAGACAATTAATGTGGCAGATCTGTATAAATCATATTCCAACCTCATTTCCCCACAGAGCAGCATGTATTTTACGGATGATGCTTCAAGTTCTGCTATAAAATTAAACAATACAAACTCAAAACATATGGAAACCGATCTACGCTCGACATTAAAGAATGAAAAAGCAGATATCGAAGTACGCTACCATGAGAAAAACGCAAACGACACTGAAAATGCTGATTTATTATTTATTTCCATATCGAACGATGCTAATACTATTAATAAAATGGAAAGAGAGTCCTATGTTAAAATTACAAATAACGAACATCGTGTTGAACAAAAATTAGCAGATTTTAATGAAGATATAGATGACAAAAGTAAAACATCGTCCGAGAATGATATGGACAGTGACATTAATACGTCGATAATTAACAAAACAGAGGAAACGATAAAAAAGGAAAAAACTTGTAACAATGAAACTTCAATATCATACGATAATACGTGCAATGAAACATCGATACGAAGAACAAGTGCAAATGTCAATGATAAAGAGCAATCCAATTCATCTGTAAATAAAGCAAAACTGACACATGTCGATCAAACTACAGCTTTATCAGCAGTATCTTCGCGTCAGGTTTCACCGCGAATTACGAAAGACAATCTACAGATGAAAAATGTTAATGCAATGATAAAGTCAAAAAGTCAAGAGAACTATACCGTAAAGTCTGAGATATTCAAGAAATCGGTCGCTTCGCAAAATTCGAAAAATCTCAAATCTGATTCGATAAATATTGTTCACAGTACGAGAGATCATAATGGTACATCACGAACCCAGATAAAAGCTAGAAATTTGTCTGCTGAGCCTAGACATAATACTGATCATAGTTTTAAGTTAGATAAAAAGAGATCTCAATCGCAAATAAGTTTTCGCTCGAATGCGTCATCGAATAATGCAAACTGTGTGAATTGTACGCAATTGCTTGACTCTAAAATGAAATTAAAAAGACTCGCGAGGTTGTTGACACCGGTACCAAAGACATCTTCGCGGTCGTGTATACCAATCTTAAAAAGTAGACTGGAAGCAGCGCGTAAAACAGAGAATGAGTCAAGACATAGAAGTCCAGTGAGAGGGCCATTGACGATGACAATGTTCTGGAGGGATAATTTGTCTAGCAAGAGCCATTATGCGACTGAAGAAAGCTTAAAGTTGGAAGGCACATCGGAGATCAATGATCAATGCGTCGAGGAAATGAACGCGTGTGAAAAAAGTGCAAACGATACCGGATCATTGCGTGCAGCGGAAAATACAATTACAAAAACCGACAGTACGATCACTGCGCAAGAACAGATGGTAATCTACGTCAACATATTCACAAAATATGATCATAACGCAACGAAGATAGTAGATCCCAACAAATTTTTAAAATATATTAAAGACAAAGAGTTGAATAAACAAAACGGAACCATCGACGTTGAGTCTAATAAGAACGACGAAGATCTCGCAAAAGGCACAGTCGAAAAGAAACAAAGCGCAATGCACAAAATTCTTACTATTGTTTCTTCGGTCATAAATGGTAACGAGCTGAATCAGAATTTGTCCGCTGATTTAACCGCTTCAAAAGCGAACAGTGAACCGTTAACAGATAGTTTATCGAACGAGAAATTGAAACAGTTATGTTTTCTGTCTGTGGAGCAAAGAGAAATTGATGTTACCGCTAAACCATCGGTCACCGATACAAGCACGTCTATCACGGATTTAGGAAATGTTTCGAGACCGTCGGAAAGCGCGTTAAGTAAATTCCAAATATGCGGAGTACCCAAAGAATTGAACAACGACGAATACGTAGCATTACTTGAGATACTCTATCAGGAACCAAATATGGCACACCTACGTGAATTGCAAACCATTTGCAAGAGACTTGTGTCAGAATCACAATAATCCAACTGACCGTCGATGAAAAATATTATTTAATATCTATATCCATGAAATTCATAAATAACGGTCCCAGGCATACTTTTTATATGTTGTCCTTTTATTATCTAATATAGGATAACCACTCTGTGTAATTATGTTGTGTATATATGAGCACATTTTGAAATAAATATGTTTTTATACTTTTAACAAAAACATGTAATGCTAGTAAAAAGACTTACCTGCATTTGAACGCTCTGACAGTTGACGAATTCGATGCTCGACACAAGAGAGTCGAAAACAACAGATGATTTGCGGCACGAGTCCATCACAACAGAATTTACTTTGCCTTTAACAACTAAAGTACTATCTTGACATCGAAACATGTAGATGACGTTGTTCATCTCCACATTTTCAACGAGCAAATCCTTATTTCCTTTATGATACTCCTACAATAGAAAATGACATATACCGTCAATCCAAATGAAACTATACATAATATAATAGTTTAATAACGACACCAGTCTAAAACTAGCGATTTCATAAATAATACTTACTATGAGCCATTTCTTTCCGTCTTTAGTGAATACTGGTGGCTTGTCAATTGGTGCATTTGCAGGTGGTACTATCTTCGACGGCATGGCATTACCGACTACCGGGGCCTTAAATGGTGCTGGGCCGGTTCTGAGCGAGGGGTTTTTATGCGTTTGCATTTCAGAAGTTACTTTCTTTAAATCTGTTTAAATAAGAGACGTAAATTTGTTTAATTCGCGTAACCAAAATATTAATATTCTAACACTGGTGTTATATTTACTCTTCGTAATAGCTTCTCCCTGATTGATTTCCGCGAAAAGGGCGCTTCTGTCGTCGCCGACACCGATGGGCGCCACATCGCCAATAGGAGGCATGCACGGCGGTGGAGGTGGTGGTATACCTGCTGGTGCAGAGCCACTTTTTGCCCACACCAATCCTGTTGTGTGATGTTGTTTTATGTATTGCTGAAGATCGCTTAACGTTTGTACCCAAGCCTTGCACCATTCTGCATGCACTTTATCTCTGCGGATATGAAAGATTAAATGAACTTTCTGTCAAAAAAAAGGAGAAACTTTCTTTACAAACACAAATAAAATTTTCCAAAAATAATGATAAGACATTGAATTTCTTATCACCGCGTGTGAAAGAAAAAAGGCTTACTTTTCTTTCCAGTCTTTTAAAACGCGATTGGTATAAAATTGCCCGGCGTTGTTCATCTCCTTCACGTAAGGTGCCGGGGCAGGTGCCACAACAACCCATCCTAGAGCTGGAATACTTTCACTAATTGCTGACAAATGATTGAAGAACGGAGAGGCTCTATTCTTCTCGCGGAAACTTTGTATCTGTTCAATTTGCGTGGCGGTGCGCGCTAGGATATCAACCTGTTCTGTCTGGTTTGCTGGCGCCGGCCGAGTTGCTGCGGTTTGAATGAAGTCGAGCTGAATTCTACAAGGAAGAAGATAAATATACACGATAAATTATACACGTCTATACAAACTTTGGAACGATGTTGCGGTGCAATACGAAAATACTTACTGAAATGCTGCCTCTACAAGCTTACTGTGAGCCGCCACATCTCCACCAATTTTATTACTCAACTGCAAGTATTCTCTCACAGGTCCAGCCAGAATATCTTCGTAGCCAGCGACCGACATGCTTTCAATTTTTCTTGATGCTGATTTCGCAGGTGACTGAACAGGTGAGGCAGATTGTACCGACGTGCCGTTCTCAACTGGTTTAGACCTTCTCGGCGAAGGAGTATTCGTTTGAACGGCAGTATCTTGAGTTTCAGCTAACGGTTGATGTCGCACGTTTTCCAATCGTTTGGTTACGCTTTCCAATCGATTTACCAGTTCTTCTAAATGATCTTCCTTATCACTAGAGTCGCAGCCTTTAATGTAACACAAATTGAATGAATCAATATATGGAGAACAATAAAAGTAATATTAAAAGATTGTAAAAATCATCTTTATATAACGGCATAGCTTATTTACATCTCGCGAAGTGTTAAAAAAAAATGCATGCAAACAAGAAAGAAAATTTTATTTCTTAGTACTCGTCAAACTGAAGAACAAATCACATAATTATTTTATTAGAACACAACATCCTATGACATGATCATCTGCAAGATTATAATCTAATGCTTCGGTAATAACGAGATCGCGGATTTTATGCATTTGTTAAAAACAATGAGAACATTTGAAGATACTGTCACGATAGAACAACTAAGAATAGAAATAAATGTCGAAGAAATAAATGCTTACATTGCTTGCGATCGATGCAAGCAATGTTTATTTTGCATAAAATATCGCATTCTAGTGATAACTATAATATAGAATTATTGTTAAGCTAAAGGAATATATTCCAGGTAGTTCGCATTTATGAAATGTATATTAAATATAGAACAAGTGTATAAATAGTTGGACCAACATCCACAGCCATTAGATCATTATGTTGCAAGCATGAGTAATAGAAATAAATTTGTGTTTCTATCGAAGTACTACAAATATTTTAGCACATATTTGTTCAAATACAATTGATGTGATATTCGATAATTCTAAATTTTAGCGTTCTCATTTAGTAAGCTGATGAGATAAGTGATTGACTTTGAAACAATAATGAACCGAAATAATTGTTCCCACATTTATGAAGCTCGACAAAAGACAAAGTTAAAATCGCTCTCCGTTTAAGTATTTATCCGATTTACCGAGAATTATTTTTACAAAGGAAACGGTTGCGGTCCGCGGCAACTCGACTTTTCGGAAGCTGGCGGAGAACTAAACCGCGATTCTAATGTTATTCAACGCGTGTATATGCCGGCCTATTCTTAGGAAATCTGTGAAAACTGAATCGCAACCGTCAGTGTTATATACCCGGCGTGGGCAGACGCTATTTCGTCCAGCGAATTTTTAACGGTAATCCAACAATTGCTTAACGACAAAGAAATGCGTCGGTGCAAATAAACAACACATATTTTTAATATTTTCAGTTCTCCAAAAAGAATATTTTTAAAATGCATTTATAATATTACATTGAACGAATGTGTCATAAATAGAAAAATCATTACGTCGTTCAGTTTTCACAACTGTGTATATTCCTCGCTCGGAAATAGTGTTTCACGCTACATAAAGTTCATTAAATATTACAACCGATTGAAAGGTAAATAGGTCGAATGATAAAAATAGAATGACTAAGTTCGAGACAAAGCGTTAAAGCCTGAAAACTTCTGATACTCGCGAATGCTTCTGTCAAAACTTGAGAATGGAGAACACGTTTCCCAACATAGTATGTACATACATGCGCCTTCATCTCAGCTATACATTGTACTCGTATTATAACATCATGCGTATTTCAAAGTTACCATGGTCTGTAAGATATTTATGTTCGCCGTATTTTAAACTTGTGGCTAAAGTTCATCCACATTATGGTACCTCAGCTTTGCTACATATTAACGTACACACATTTATAATTCTTCCCATAATTTCGAGTTGTCAAAGCACTAATTTCACATTATAAAATGAACTTAACTAACGGCAATAAAATACGACCACTTCAAGATTATAATTGAACGATTATAATTCTACAGCGATGTTGTTCACTATAAGAAGTCGCCGGTTGGTGTCACATAGTATACGCCACAGCAAAGATAAAAAGGCAAAGGTATTGTCGCGCGTGGACAATTCATGACATTATGTTATACAGGGTGTCCCAAAAATGTTTCGCAATCCGGAAATGGCGGGTTCCTCGAATCATTTGAAGCAACTTCTTTCTTTACAAAAATGTTCTCCGAGGCACCGTTAACGAGTTATTAACGAAAAACCAGTGACCAATAAGAATCGAGTACGGCTGACGCGAGGCGGCCCAGCCAACCAGCGCGCGAAGCCCGGTTCCGCTCATTGGCTCGGTCGCATCGCGCCAGCCGAGCTCGCCTCTCATTGATCACTGTTTTTCGTTAATAACTCGTTAACGGTGCCTCGAAGAAAAATTTTGTAAAGGAAAAAGNTTTTATTTCTTAGTACTCGTCAAACTGAAGAACAAATCACATAATTATTTTATTAGAACACAACATCCTATGACATGATCATCTGCAAGATTATAATCTAATGCTTCGGTAATAACGAGATCGCGGATTTTATGCATTTGTTAAAAACAATGAGAACATTTGAAGATACTGTCACGATAGAACAACTAAGAATAGAAATAAATGTCGAAGAAATAAATGCTTACATTGCTTGCGATCGATGCAAGCAATGTTTATTTTGCATAAAATATCGCATTCTAGTGATAACTATAATATAGAATTATTGTTAAGCTAAAGGAATATATTCCAGGTAGTTCGCATTTATGAAATGTATATTAAATATAGAACAAGTGTATAAATAGTTGGACCAACATCCACAGCCATTAGATCATTATGTTGCAAGCATGAGTAATAGAAATAAATTTGTGTTTCTATCGAAGTACTACAAATATTTTAGCACATATTTGTTCAAATACAATTGATGTGATATTCGATAATTCTAAATTTTAGCGTTCTCATTTAGTAAGCTGATGAGATAAGTGATTGACTTTGAAACAATAATGAACCGAAATAATTGTTCCCACATTTATGAAGCTCGACAAAAGACAAAGTTAAAATCGCTCTCCGTTTAAGTATTTATCCGATTTACCGAGAATTATTTTTACAAAGGAAACGGTTGCGGTCCGCGGCAACTCGACTTTTCGGAAGCTGGCGGAGAACTAAACCGCGATTCTAATGTTATTCAACGCGTGTATATGCCGGCCTATTCTTAGGAAATCTGTGAAAACTGAATCGCAACCGTCAGTGTTATATACCCGGCGTGGGCAGACGCTATTTCGTCCAGCGAATTTTTAACGGTAATCCAACAATTGCTTAACGACAAAGAAATGCGTCGGTGCAAATAAACAACACATATTTTTAATATTTTCAGTTCTCCAAAAAGAATATTTTTAAAATGCATTTATAATATTACATTGAACGAATGTGTCATAAATAGAAAAATCATTACGTCGTTCAGTTTTCACAACTGTGTATATTCCTCGCTCGGAAATAGTGTTTCACGCTACATAAAGTTCATTAAATATTACAACCGATTGAAAGGTAAATAGGTCGAATGATAAAAATAGAATGACTAAGTTCGAGACAAAGCGTTAAAGCCTGAAAACTTCTGATACTCGCGAATGCTTCTGTCAAAACTTGAGAATGGAGAACACGTTTCCCAACATAGTATGTACATACATGCGCCTTCATCTCAGCTATACATTGTACTCGTATTATAACATCATGCGTATTTCAAAGTTACCATGGTCTGTAAGATATTTATGTTCGCCGTATTTTAAACTTGTGGCTAAAGTTCATCCACATTATGGTACCTCAGCTTTGCTACATATTAACGTACACACATTTATAATTCTTCCCATAATTTCGAGTTGTCAAAGCACTAATTTCACATTATAAAATGAACTTAACTAACGGCAATAAAATACGACCACTTCAAGATTATAATTGAACGATTATAATTCTACAGCGATGTTGTTCACTATAAGAAGTCGCCGGTTGGTGTCACATAGTATACGCCACAGCAAAGATAAAAAGGCAAAGGTATTGTCGCGCGTGGACAATTCATGACATTATGTTATACAGGGTGTCCCAAAAATGTTTCGCAATCCGGAAATGGCGGGTTCCTCGAATCATTTGAAGCAACTTCTTTCTTTACAAAAATGTTCTCCGAGGCACCGTTAACGAGTTATTAACGAAAAACCAGTGACCAATAAGAATCGAGTACGGCTGACGCGAGGCGGCCCAGCCAACCAGCGCGCGAAGCCCGGTTCCGCTCATTGGCTCGGTCGCATCGCGCCAGCCGAGCTCGCCTCTCATTGATCACTGTTTTTCGTTAATAACTCGTTAACGGTGCCTCGAAGAAAAATTTTGTAAAGGAAAAAGTTGCTTCAAATGACCTGAGGAACCCGCCACTTTCGGATTGCGAGACATTTTTGGAACGCCCTGTATTAACAGTATTATGATCTGTTTCTTTTCTCTTTTTTTTAAGAAAACGCCCGAATTAGGCTTCTGTTCCCTCAGACTTGCAACACGTATTAGCGGAGTGGACTCTGTCTATCGGGTGTCTCCTTCAAAAAAAAAAAAAAAGAAAAAAATAAAACAGATCATAAGAGACAAATGCAACGCATTGTAAATGAACTTAACGCGTTCGAAATTACAAAGAAGAATGCATCAATAAAAATCATACAAAGTAAGAAATGGATTTAGGGTGAACCCTAACCAGTGTGCACCATCGGTCCTAGGGGGTCGAACCTCACTCTGTGCTCGGACGCATTTTGCGCGGCTTGTAATAAATCGGAGAAGAATCTGTGACGCCTTAAGGCTAGCTCGTCGCGAGCGACCGGCGTCGCGGGTGGTTCTTGCATTCCGCTGCACTCTTCCGAATCGTGTTCGCCGTCGTCCTCTTCCGACAGCCATCGAGGCACTGACAGACCTCCGCACCGTACCTCTTAACATTGACATTTGATCAGATAGAGCTTTCGATGTCCTATTATTAACAGGGGAATACGAGCCAACTGGAAAATGCTTCTGCAGCGCGCCAGACGAGTTAACTCGTCCGCCAGACAATGATCGATTCAGCAATACACTGGAGCGAGTCACTTAGTTATTCAAAAATATATCTAGAACGCTTATAGGACGTGCTGACTCTGTACGAAATTGTAAAGGCGTTCATATACATGCTAAAAATCGATACAACGTCGTTTATTTTTTATTGTCACCGCGCGTTGGCACACTATCTACCGATATTCCCTCGGCTCCCTTTGTCACCGATTGATGAGAACATGAACAGTGACTGACGCTGTTTACTCGCTGACTCGTGGCATAGCATTTTCTGGTTAGTACGTTTGTTTGGATATACAACATTTCTGTTTAAATGATGAAATTTTGCTTTAACCGCGAGCGAAACGGATTAGTTGTAACATTCGTAAAGAAAATGTACTAAAATGTGTTTCCCCGGTCAACAGACTAAATACAATTGTACTGTTTGTAATTAAAAATCCTTTGATCTGGTACGGTAAAAGTTAAATCGAAAAAATTGCCACTTTGGAGGACTGATAGAAGAGAATTCCAAAGTGGGGCGATGAAGATGAAAATCGATTCAATAAAAATAAAATATGCAATAATAATTTATGAACGTACTCCAGATTTTTACGTATTTTTTTCTTTTTTTTAGCAAATATTATAATAAAATACAAACTTCAACGAATTCCATTTCACTTCGAAGTGAATTATGCTTACAACCAGTTAGCTGTTGCGACCTTTAAAAACTGTGTACCTAAAATATGTCGCAAAAAGCGAGCGATAACAAGTACACTACCTAGCCCAGACGCCATGTACAGTACTTTCATAACAATAATCTTTTTATTTGTCCGTTTCATTTCGTCTTGGCCTCCAAATATTCAAAACATTCTATAATTTACGGACATATTTTAATTTTCACTAAAATTGCCATTTGAACAGCAAATTTTTACATTTTTGTATTACTCGTCGTAATACAAAAAAATTGCCGTTTCTTCATGAATGCACTCGTCGAGAACAGCTAACTGGTTAACGACCTCCCGACGAGTCTCTGACTATGCGACGCAGTCCAATGAAAATAATATAACAATCAAAGGTAAAACGGACGATAAAAAATACCAAGAGAATATTGCATATCCAAAGTAGTTGATGAAAACCGACCGTAAACATTGCATAAGTGAAAATGTACCTGGCGGTGATTTCTTATTTGCGGTGTTATCGTTCGGGCAAGCTTCGAATACAGAATCGTCACCTTCCTCTTCCGGTCCATCGTCGATCGTTCTCTCGATATACGCGGTGGACGAATCGTAAAGATTCGTCTTCACGGTATTAGAAACACCGGAATTTAGTATCACCGCCATCAAGCCACCCCCGCCCTCTACACCACCGCTCATGCTTATATTGTCACTCGCGTCTACTTCTCCGTTTCCGCTATCATCCTTGATTTCACTTGCTCGTCTTATCGTATGCTCTTTCGTTTGATCGTCCTCATTTTCTATATCGTCGTCGCAATTCTTGCCGTTCGATTCCACTATCGATTCGTTTCTCGATCGAGAAGAATCCTCGTCGCGTTTACCGGAAGGCAACGGACTCTTGACAGTCAAATCGTCGACCAGCTCCGCGGGACAATTCTCCATCGACGGGGAAACTTTCTCCGATCTCTGCACGTCGCCGTTCAACTTTTCGTTCCTTCCGATCTGTCTGTTACCGTCGATCGTCGTCGAATCGACGGGAACTATCTGCGGGTCGCTCGCTTTCTGACTTTGCTTTGCCGCCTCGCCGCCCAGCTTCTCCTTCTTCGGAGTCTTGTTGCACACACAGCATTTAAACATCGTCGATATCGATTATAGATTCACGTCGTATCAGCAATATAACGCTTTCGACCGAACTTCGGCTCCTCGAGAGGCAAGACCTTTGCCCATGCACGCCCGCGTTAGTCGTTTCGCCGGTATCGATTGACACCCGTGTGTATCGCGACAACCGTCGATCGATAGTTCGGGTCGATACGAATCAATCTACTACGTTTGTCAAAAAAGCTGATCGAAGTGTACTTCGAAGTGCACGTCCGATTCAACAAGAGATATACAAGCTCGGAAACGTGTGTACAACTATAATAATAACAATGTAACGTGTGCAAATATCAATTAGAAATTCGGTATTACGTCACGAAGTCAACAGTTGCAGCATATTCAACGGTTATAACGAAACAACGCTTTACTACGATTCCTTTTGTAAACACCGTTGACGTTTCTTTTTACCGGACGTTTTCACGAACGATTCCTCGGAATATTAGAAGCGATAACGACGAGACGGTAACAATGCTTTAATATTTAAGGTAAGTTCACCGGTTGACTCCTCACAGCCTATACGTAACTGCTGCTCGCACGTTTGAATTCGAGCACGGCGTTTTGGCGGCCCTTTCCGGGCGGCGGAACTTCCGACGATCGAATACTCTTATTTCAGCCGGATTTCCCACGGGAATCACGCACTATAAATTGCTCGGTATATACAAACGTGCTTCAATTACATTTTCACTCACAGCCGGTTTATGTGTTTACGGTCGGCGAATCGCTAACTTACCATTAACAGCACGAAACAATGATATCGTTAGCAATCAACACGCCTCTTATTATTTCCACTAGGCCAATGTAAACAACATGTAAATGTATTTGTTAATCGATAAATCGTGTATTAACAAAACTACGCTCGATACTACAATTGTAATGCAACATGTACACGCACAGCTTTCCTTTGTTTTCTTCGTTTCAACGATTAAATTTATTTTCCTTTTAAAAACCATCCCATAGAAGTAACAGATCTGGCAACACCATTGATAATATTTGACAGCGTAACGTTATTTATTAACAAAATCGCGTTCACCTTCGATAGGTCCCGATAGGCTAACCAAGAGATCCCCGCGACGTGTTTTCCCCGCGAAATTCTGTTGATGGCGCGATGATCGATTTCAACCTACGCCCAGGGGTTTATGTTTTCGAGATTAGTCCGACGAAAATCTGTACCGAAAGAAGGATCGTAAATTTTGCACTTTCATGGGTTTGCTCGTCAAACGGTATTTTGTCGTTTCAACTACGCCTTTTAACGGTTTCTAATCACGATCAATTGAAAAACGCGGACGAGAGACGGATATCGCATCGGAAAGCAAACACACGCCCTTTCTAACCAGGATGATACATCTCTGTGACTATATACGGTATCCACGTTTCTCGTGCTCGCAAACAGGGCAAACTGACGACTCGATGACTTGTCGGGAGCTGATAGACAAACATTCGTATATATATGTGTACATAGATATAATATGTATATGTATATATCACGTCGTATATCGTTCAGTATGCACATTCAATGTTCCCGACGGAGACATGTGTGTCAGTGCAACAACGAATAAGCATTTCAACGAATAAATAAACTGATTATCAGAGAAATCTCGCGTAGACCCTACGAATCACTGCCGATAATTGTAAACAATGTAATCGACCGTGTCAATTAACATCTTTGCAGTTTGATTGTTGTACTCGTCGGCGCGGGGTCAACCGTTCAACAGATCACTCGTAACAAATTCTCCGCAGCGCGCATTGAGGTTACGCACACTCGAGTAACAATGTATTGTTAATTGCGGTTGACTTATGAACAAATGCGCACGGTCATTAGAGACAATTTTTCTTCAAGTAGTTCGCAACGAACGAACGTTTTCACTTGTAATTATTCGGACATCATTGGCACTCGGCGAACCCGTGAATTTCTCTTACGTGTACAAACGGAACATTTTAATTGAATTACGTGACCCGCGAGGGTGGAGTTTTGTGTCCTCAAAAAACAGTCTACTTTGGATGTAACCGGCGCAATGCTCTGCCGCTTCTGGTTTCGACCGGCACACTGCGGTGCTGCCACAGGGTGGTCGAGACCCGAAATTGTTGCAAGTTTCTTAGGCAGGGGGGCCACGTGCACCAAAGGACAAAGGACTCTCTCGAATCTCCTCGCAACACTGATAAACCTCGATCTAACATTCTTCCGTCGTTGTTAAATAAACTCGACGGCTCACTCGAATGTTCACCTTTAAACGTTGCTGTATAGAATACGATATCGTCAAAAATTCAAATAATGACTCGATTCAAAGTGACCTAATTCCATGTCGTTGCACAGTGGCCCTGAAAAGAATAATATTCTTCTAATATATAATTTGACTATTTATCGTAAATTAGTGCACGAAGGGCAAGATAAAAATTCAATCAAAGGAAAAAAGAAATCAGTTGCAATAATGAATTTAAGTCAAATTTGACAAACAGTTAAAATATATATAATTAATTAAAGATAATATTTGATGACTTTGTCTTTACAGTATAATGTCTGATCAAAAAATCATTCGAAAAGGTAAAAGTATGCAATTTTTGAATGTCTGGAAGGTTGTTAATTCGTTAAAAAAATGTTATCGTAAAGTTGAGGTTGAAAAATTGGATTTTCGCCAGAAATTACCGCTTTCTGAGCCATTGTGCAAATCATTACTGACACCAATAAGTAGAAAACAGGATGAGTTAACAGCGCAGTATTACAAGCAAGAATGTGACATTACATTCAAGAATTTTAAAAGTTTTAAACGTTAGTCATAACAGTTCTTAATAGTCGTGAACAAATACACACGTAATGTGACTCATATTATTTCCGCTAGCTTGCGATTGTATTCAATTGTTCTTTATCAGTTTTCAGACCATATATGTACAGCGCACGTACGATAATTGATAATTTTTCTAAAGTTTGTCAAGTATATATATATATGTGTGTAAAAAGAGATATAGATTATTGATAATAACAAAAAAATGGCATGCTTGGTGGAGGTTAATTTGCTGAAAATAATTTTGAATAATAAACGCGTTGCACTAATTTATGTTAATGCACTAATAAGAAATTTCAACCACTAGAAAGACACGTGAAAACTAGTAACTGCAGCATCTAACATATAGAATAATATTATTTTGTTTCGTGTGTGTGTGTAAAATCTTACCGAAATTATTTATTTGTTCTTGTAAGGAACAATTATTAAGTAAATGACAAAATACCAATATTTGTACTATATATACATTTTATATTACAGATTATGGAATTGTTGCGCTAAATTTGTCGAAAGTATGTAACTCTAAAAAAACCGTTTTATACTCACGATTTTTCCACATGTTTAACACTCTTTTGTAAGCACCTGGTACCATTCGGAAATCATCCTCCACAACTTTATGAACTTCAGACATTTTAAATGTACTTTATTTGCATCAATAGCTACACGTTTCGAACTGATCGACGTAATAAAATAACTATACAAAATTAAAAGACAGATGGATTCGACGTGTAACTGATGAGTGATGATAACGGACTCACTTCGTCAGCTTTCACGATGGCATTTTAATCTCGCATCAGGATCGCAGGACCGTATCACATAACCAACTGAATAGTAAAAAGTCTGACCTATGAATTTTGTTGTTTCTTTCAATTTCAAATTATACGAAAATTTCATTTATTAAACGATTAAACGAATTGATTTCTAATTGAAAACATCAAATATAATCTAGAAATTCTCGATATCTGTATTGTACGCTTGATATTTCCTAACTAAATTTATGTATTCACTTTTTTTCGCGGAAAAAAAGAACGTTTTCCCTCAATACATACGCTTAATATCATTTGAGAACATGGAAACACGAAAATATAAAATCTTCGTTGCGATGCAAAGAGATATTTTGATCGTTTAATTATTATTATTATTATTATTATTATTATTAATTAGATTGTACATATATGTTTATACGATACAATTACAAATACATCAAGATACATTACCAGGTGTCAAGAGTCAGGTGCACTCTAGTATGACTCACAGTTGAAACGTTGCAAGAAGCACAAACTGCACACGTATAATTGTGTTCATAACCAAACGAACGCTCTCTCATATTTTTCATTTTGGTAAATTACTTTCTCAACATCTTAAGACCCATAATAACTACACCACACACCTTGCATATATAGATATCGAACATAAATGTATAAATAATACAAATTGTGGGAACGCATAAATAGTGAAATGTTTTCAGAAAAGTTGATATGTACCTAGCGGCTATGGTATGCTTTATTGCACTATTGTGCAGAATATGATTACTCACTCACCAATATGACGGCTTACGGGAGTTCAGCACCATGTATGCTGTCACCTTATGACAATCGATTTGACAATAACACAACAAACACGATACGCAAGTAATACGAATTCAGTCTGACAACATTACTACACTGGGGCGTTTGCCGGATACCGGAAGTACTACTCTTGCTATTATGGGAGCTTAGAATCCTTTACTGCACATGCGCCTACATTCGAGCGCATTGCATTCAAAATGAAATTGTACTGTATCGTATCAATATCGGTTATAAATTTATAGTAATCTGATTACGAGACGAGAAAAGTTCTCTCTTCTATTTAATAGATCAATAAACTTGACTATACTTTATATAATTAAATAGACTCGAATTGATTCTTTCAAATATTTCTAAAAATTTCAATTTAATATCTAGGTTTAAAATGAAATTTAGTATAATGCGAAGTCCAAATAAATTTAACCCTTTTAGTGCCGAACGAAAAACGGGTGTCTATGCGAATTTGACGAATTTACTATGGTTTAGGAAAAAGCCCGTAAAAGCCTAACTAAGAATAATTCAAAACGCAGCGTATAGGGGAAGAATGGGAAAGTAATGTAATGACGATTGTATATCGTCGTTCAGCACTAAAAGGGTTAAGAATTAAACATAAGAAAATATGTATTTTAAAAGTTTGAGAATTTCGCACTCATCTACACATACATTTCATGTACAGGTGCTGCCATCTGGCCCTGCGGTGAAAAAAGGTGACTGCAGTAACTAGGCTAAACTGAGTTTATCTAGTATTTCCTTCAGTAGTACATATTCGATATCATGAGGTTCAAGGTTTCGTAGTACCTTGTGATGTTTCTTTTCTTTTGATTAATATTACTAATCCATGTAATTTAAACAGATAAAATGTCTTCTTAACATCGTAAATTTTATGTGAACGCATCGCACAAGTTGTACATATATAAGTATTAGTGTAATATTGTCGAAGCAAAAGGTGTATAATAATATATGAAGTGATTGATTTTATTAATCTACGAAAAACTAGAAACAGGGTACAAAGAATATCATATAAACGAAACAATGAGCACAAAATTTATATTTATCGAATCGAGGGACATTTTAAGTACGATACCTCAGTATCATACACTGATAGGAGCATTCCTGATATTTTGGTTTATTTGGTTTATTGCTAAGAGACGGTACAACAGACATGAAAGAATGCCAACAGAAGAGGAAGTTCAGAAGAAACTCGCAGAGTGGAATCCTGAACCGCTTATAACCAATCCACAAACATCTCATCCGTCTTTAAATCCAAGATGCGTAACATCAAGAGTTGGCAAAAGAATAGTAGTCAATGGCAAAGATTGTTTAAATCTAGGAACACATAATTATTTGGGTTTTATAGAAAACAAGGATATAGAAAAAGCAGCTACGGCAGCAGTAAGAAAATATGGAGTTGGTTCCTGCGGTCCACGTGGATTTTATGGCACTGTAGATGTGCACCTTGAATTAGAAGAACGTTTAGCAAATTACACGGACACAGAAGAAGCTGTAGTATATTCATATGGATTTAGTACAATAGCGTCTGCAATAGCAGCATATTGTAAGCGTAGAGATCTTATATTTGCAGACGAGAACATAAATTTTGCCATACAAAAAGGACTAGATGCATCTAGAGTCGATGTTAAATATTTTAAACACAATGATGCCAATGATCTTCATGATTTATTAAAAAAACAAGCAAAACTTGATGAGCAAAATCCTATAAAAGCAAGCAAGGTGAAACGCTTTTTAATAATAGAAGGTATTTATGCAAACACAGGAAAAATTTGCCCATTACCAGATTTATTGGCACTTTGTAAGAAATACAAATTACGAATATTTATTGATGAGTCGGTATCATTTGGTACCCTTGGTGCACATGGGAAAGGTGTAACAGAATATTTTAATATTCCCATAAGTGAAATTGATATGATTATGGGTGAGTATCCCCAAATGTACATACATTGTATGTACACATATCTTCATGTATTCTTATTTAAATTGTTTATATAAATTTTAGGATCTTTAGAGTTGGCAATAGGATCCATTGGTGGATTTTGTGTTGGTACATCATTTGTTATTGAACATCAACGCTTATCTGGACTTGGATATTGTTTTTCAGCATCTCTACCACCACTTTTAACATCTGCTGCTATTACTTCTCTCGACATTATGAAAAATAATCCACAAATGTTTGAGTTGCTAAAAGAAAATTGTATAACCATGAATAATGGACTTCAGGAAATTCAATGGTTAGAGTGTACAAGCTTTCCAGGCTCGCCAGTAAAACACATCTATTTGAAACAACAATTAAGTCATATTACAGAAGAGGCGTTACTCTCTGCGATCTCTAAGAGATGTATTGAAAATAATTTAGCTATCATAATGCCTGTGTACTTGCAAATAGAAAAAAAATTACCCAGACCTAGTCTGAAAATTTGTATTTCTACACTTCTAAATAAAAATGATATCGATTTTGCACTCAATGTATTAAAAAAATGTACTGAGGAAGTTTTGTCTTCCACAAGTTGCACAAATGCATAAAATCTCTCACCGATTGTACAAGCAATGAATTTTTTTCTATTTTACAAATATTTTATTTCTTATTTCATATCATGCTGTTTTCACACAATTACAATGTATTCTATAATGTACTAATAGTTTATGTATAAATTAAATATGAAAACAAATAAATACAAAGTACAAATCAAGATATATATATAGAATTATAATTTATTTCTTATAATAATTGTTTATAATTTTGTTATAATCTATATTTAATTTGAAAACATTAATTAAGTGGATGAAATTTACAATACATGAATTATTTTTTGAAATTCAGAAAATTTCGCGGTTTGATGACGTATTTCCTGTAACATGGCCGTTAGAGTCATGAAGAAGACGACTTCCTCTTTCTTCTTCATTATACCCACAAAGGTTGCCACGGTAAGTAAAATTGATTCCAACATTTTTCCCAAATACCCGGTAGAAACTCATGTTTTATATTCGATAACCACTTAACAATATTAACTATATCTCAATATATAAATACAAGAGAAAAATCACGAAATATTCTTGGTATTTCTTTTATAAAACTTAAAATAAACCATTCATAAGGTTAGCTTGCCATGTGATCATCACATATCTTATAACATATGTATTGGGTTGGCAACTAAGTAATTGCCGATTTGTTCAATGAAATAAAAAATTTTTTTTACTTGGAACGAAGTTTAATCTCTAATGTATTTTCCATTTTGTTCGATGACCTTTTGCCATCTCTCTGACAACTTGAAAATTCCACGCTCGTAGAAAGTCTGATCCTTTTCGGCCAAAAACTGAGTTAAGTGAGATTTTACAGCGTCATCATCGTTAAAAGTTTTACCACGAAGGGAGTTGTCCAGGGATCGAAATAAGTGTTAATCCGATGGCGCGAGATCAGGGCTATATGGTGGGTGTAACATCAATTCCCAACCAATATCCATCAATTTTTGCCGAGTGGACAAAGACGTGCGCGGCCTAGCATTGT